GTGGGGGGAGGGAAATCACACCCCCTAAACCTCCCCCCACTCCAATTTTCAATGTTAGTCAAACACCAGGAAAAAATTACTTTTGTTGCCAGTCAAGTAAAACACAACAAGGTCTGTTTGTTTCTTGGCAAGGAACCATTCTAGAAATAGGGGATTGGTCCACAAATGTAAAGAAACTGTAAAAATGGAGCCGTAACGCTTGTGTACATGAACTAATCTGAGCCATTAGGAGGGAATTCATTATTTTAGAAGACTTAGTTATAAATATTATACTTTTCCCTCACTCATAACATTAACTTCCCTTCCATAAAATCACATGCATAGAAAGACCAAAGAGAGACAAAAACCCATATTAGACAACAGAAAAGTTACCAAACCCGAAGTCTTTTCAGTCATGAGAGAGACTAACACTGCCCAAGTGTCCATATAATATCATTTACTGGTTTGTGTGAAATAATGATGGTAGTTCAATACGTACGAGGAAAAGATTAGAAACCATCAATGACTACCTTTCCTTCCTCACAAACTACTAAATCTAGGTGAGAAAAGGGAAAATGTTCGAAGCCTGTAAGAGGGTGACTTGGTTTTATAACTTTCCTACCAAGAGAAAGTAATTTTTAAAAGCACAAGAGAAATGCAAATATACTTATCATCTAAGTCCTGAAAATAAAGCTATTCATCTCTGCTTCTGCCTTCATCAATCATGCCTTCAGATTTGATAAATATACAAACTCCTATTCAACATTTCAACATACTTGTTAAAGAAAGTGTCAACATTATACAACCTTGTTTGGGAAATTGAGGCTGAGAAGCATTACCTGAAATTCCCTATAACCTCGAGACTTCCTGAATTCTAAATATTATCCAAACTTACTAATCACAAAGGCACATTCCCCATATTTGTCAATCTTTGTAGTGGATTTCGTAAGTCACATTTCAACCATTTATTTCTATTTAAGTACTTCTGCTTGTCCCAGTTTTTCCCATGACACTTCAGAATTGTCTCTCGGCTGTGCCAATTCCCGCTTTCTAAAGTCGTGCATGACAATGACCCTCTTCTTAGAGTCTGTCAGCCAAAGCCACAGTAATCACTGAGGGGAAAGATGACTTAAAAAAATTGAAAGTAAGTGAAAGGCCATCGTAGAAGCAGAGAAGCCCTTCCTCGAGATACCAACTCTTTTCTGTGTTTTTTCCTCTTCAGCCTGAGCAACACATTTAATTCTTCCAACTATGTTCCTTACTATTCCTGTCCTCCCTTTCCCGTTTTCAGTCCTTTCCTGTTCATAAAGATTGCCATCTGAACAGCCAAAAAGAGAGGGTTTTAGCTCCATTTTATCCGTGGACACTCACAAAACACTGTATGCAATTGCAGAGATCTAATCCTCTGGAACAGCCTCATGAAAAGACAGCTGAAGTGTAGAGGAGGGAGGAAAGGAAAGGAAGGGAAGTCACAGGCTTCCTGCTATTAAAAGCCAAATTTAAACCCTTTCTACATGAGAAGGGCCTCTGTTGTTGGCTGTCGTGCGAAGAGTAGAAAATTTGGTTGATACGGCGTCGTCATTATGCTTAAAAGGCAGCTCTTCCACATTAAAGATGAGAACACTGGAAGAATATAGGGGGGAAGCCACACTCCCATTGTTTATGGAATTGCTGTAGGAAGAGGTCGGAGGACAGCACGGCCACCTGAAGCCACTCTGCAGGAGCTGGAAGGGGGCTAAGCCCTTCCAAAACTCTCCATCCAGAGAAGCCTGTGCTGCAGAGTGTGCCTTGCCCCTCCAATATTCTTACTCTGCTTCCCACACATCACCTTCACAACAGGGATAGAAAAAAAAAGAAATACATTTCTGTCTCTAACTCAACTACAGATCATGAAAGGAACACAGAAAAAAATTGAACAGTCTTTGCTGTAGTTAACTTGCCTAGAACTTTAACCACCTTCACATTCAATTTAGCTTTAACTATTCAGCACATTAATTACCTGGAACACTTGATTCCATACAGTTCCTCAAATAATTAATTAGCTAAAGAGATTGAGGATTGAAGTCCCAGAGGAAATTCTTCTAGTTTTGTAGACTACACAGATTTCACCTTGTTAAAGCTACAATTCACCTAAATGCACACAACAACTGTCCCTTCAACTATTTAGGGGCAGAATCCTAAAACCAAAATAAATAAAATCCCTTCACACCCACTGAAGTAGGCCAGCATTTTTAGCACTGGGTATCCTGCCTAGTCACCTGAAAGAAGTAACACTTCTTTTGAGTAACACTAAATAAAAAAACTTCTGATTCCTTTGTTAGTAGCACACTAGACATTTTTCCCAACAGGTATCCTCTTTCTGCCACTGACAACAATTGTCACGGGACAACCAAACCAAAGGCAAACAAGTTTTAGACAGGATTTTAAAACTGGATTTCTCCCAGCGCACCAATAAGCTTCTCCAACAGGAATAATTCAAAACTACAGTTATGTCCATTACACCAACATTAAAAAAAGTCTCCTCATCTCCAGCACAGCACAGTTTTCACCAGCACTCTGCTGTTATTCATGGCATCAGCTGTGGTGTTGTACGCAAACATACTTATGCTCCAGAAAGACTGATCAGGACATCAAGAGAGTAATGCTTTACTTTTCCTACCCTTCCAAAAAAACTCCATGCTATCTCTCTCATTAACTGAATCCCACATCATTTTTCCACAAGGTAAGCAGGATAAAAAGGGAATGAATCCAGCAAAACGGGTAACAGGGAAAGCAGGCCAACATAGGGAGCAGTCAGTTACTTGGAAGAAAATACAAGTTACTTAAGGACACGTGTGTAACTTGCAAGAATTTCAAAAGACTGGAAAACAGCCTTCTCTCCCCTGTAAAGTGTATGTTATGATCTTCTGATTGTTTTTGGCAATAGAAACCTAAAATGATGCATTATAACTTATTTCTTGTACATCTTAGAACACTGGAAAAGAGCCTTTTCCCCCCTGTAAAGTGTATGTTATGATCTAGTGATTGCTTTTGGCAATAGAAACCTAAAATGATGTATCATAACTTAATTCCTGTACATTTTAAATACACCACTTCTTTATTTGATTCTTTATGTACCTCAGCATTCCAATACGTAGGACCCACAAAAGGACAAGCACAAAGGACTCACTTGCAAGAGTGAGTCACTTTGCAAGACCAAACGCCTTGGGTGGGTGGACAATCCATGATTCCTGAGCTGGAGGGACCTTCCCTGCAATTCCTGCGTGGCTCCCGCACCGGGATCCGCTCTGTGATTGGCAGCAGGGCTGTGCTGGCACAGGGCTGCTCCGTAATCCAAATCCCTTGCTATGAGAAGGCAGAAGCCAGCAGAGCCTCCTGAGGCCAAATTTGCCATGTTGCCCTGGATTCCAGCTGCACGCTCAGCTCTGCCCAAACCCACCACGCACGGCGAGACACTCGAGGAACGCACCAGTGCTGCGAATCCCAGCGTGTCCCAGCCCCTCTCCGGCTCTGCAGGCTTTGTCTGAGGGTCTCTGGGCTCCCAGATTCACAGAAATTTGGGCTTGCAGCTTGCAGGGTTCAGAAGGTTATCTACCCCTGTAACACACCATTCATTACCCAGCATCATTATCTCTTTTAAGAGCATCCATGTGCTTCGGGAACTTAGAACTGTGTTGGTTAAAGGGACTGATGTTTTCAAACGCACCAGGGATCCTCCACTTGCACTTTCATTTACTTTTTACTTAGTACCCAGTGTTGAAAGCTGCTACATCCAAGTCAACTCATGCAAATCTTTTAAGTCACACAGGTCTTTTAAGAGGTCTTTAATAACAAGAGCAGCCAAAATGACGGCGATAACTCAGCAGTAACAGGATGCAGGACTAGGCACTTATGGAAAAGTTATTGGGGAAAAAGAAAATATTCCCTACAAAGGGGAGCTTAAAACATGTAGCACAGAATGTAATATATTATGAATCAGTCTGAACTTTCATTCAAAAGACCATGTACCTTATTCTGAATTAGCATTTGGTGGTTAGGAAAAAGTACTGTCCAGGCTCCTCGGCTAAACTTTTAGCTCAGACATTCTTACTCAATAATTAACTACTGGAAGACTAGTGAAGGCTTTATCTTCCCAAAAAGGCAGGATTAACAAAATAGATGATACCACTAAAAGCTGGAGGATGACAATACAAAACTGCTACGCTTGACAACAAGCAAGACAAAATCAGAAATATAATCTATTAAAAAAAATTTAAAAATTAAAATTAAACACAGAGAATAAGCTTTGAAATTTCAACACTTTCATTCAATTAGAATTAATTTAGCAGGTTTGGGAATACACACACAGATGCTTGCAGGCATAAACTAACATGCAGAAGAATCTCTTACTGTCTAGCAAGGTTAGACAAAAAGTTAGCAAACACAAATCCTTCTCAGATGAAAAAAACTGATAATCCATTTTTCCTATCTTAATGCCATTCTTCTCCTCACAACTATCAAATAACTGAACAGATACGAAGTGTAAAAAGTAAAAGCTTTTAGAAACATAATTTAACATAAACATCTGGACAAACAAATACAGCAGAATCCCCAAAATTCATAGCAGGGTTTCATTTCGTGAGGAGACCGAAACTAAAGCCTTACTTATTCTAAATAAAGAAAATTGCACTTATTTTGTACACTGACACAAGGCATGTTTTCAGCAATATGAATCAATGTGCTATAGCTGAGGTAAATCAGTGTCAGCCATGTTGTGAAAGAAACTGCAGTTAACAAACACACAAAACTTAAGCTATGCCTTTGATATAAGTAATTTTATACTGCTGGATCTCACTATTGATTGGTGCTTGACTTCTTCAACTGAATGCCTATTAATCTAATTTAAAAATGTACATCCAAATTCTAGAGACAGTGAAACAGCAGCAAGAAGAAAACACACCAAGCTATAAAGCAGCAGCACTGACTCTGGGCAGTGCACAGGCGGAAGGTACGCTGTGAAGTGAAAAAGCAAATGTACTTACTCAGCATTAAATCCATTCACGTGCAAGATCCTCATCTGTTTGACTATTGTGCTTTTACCGGATTCACCAGCACCTAGAAAATGAAAGTAAATCAATTTCAGAAGGAAGCATGAGTGATTAAGGGACACACTAAAATTTTTTTCTTCAGGGTAAAATCGAGAAAGTTGGTTTTCTCAGTGCAAGAGTGAAAAGTGAAAGAAATAATTGCCACTGGAAACTTCAGTTGTAGCTAAAAATAAATGCCCAGCTCAAGTCATGTGTCAGATCTGAATCTTGGATCATTTCACTGTCCATTTTTCCAGTGTCAACGTTAAAAGCAGACTGCAGTATTTGGAAAGAAAAAGGACAACTTCAACATTTTATAGAGAAGAAAACAGGGTACGTCACAACCTAGTTGCCTTGTCACTACTATCTGACAGAGGGAAAGACTGACTGAAGTCCCTATTAAACCAAAGCATTTTTGTTAGATCCTTAAAGTATTTTAAGTTTGGCTGCGGTTTATCATCACCCAGTCGAAGACCGTAACTTAAATCACAAGAAGTAAAATACGTGGATACTCGCATCTGAAAAAGGAAGGCATCCCTTTAAGCCTCCACCCACAAGGCTACAAAAACCTCCTTCTCCTACTTGTGTCTTGTAAGCAACCTCCCACCCTCTCTACATGTTCCAAAATCAACCCTATAGCACAACGAGACGCAAAGACCACCTTCTGTGGCTGCCTGCTCCAAAGAGCCCCCCCCCGCAGCTCTCCCCTGCTTCCCCCATATACCTGCAGTACAGAAACCCCCACTCCACTTTACTCCAGTTTCCACAAGTGGATGGATGCTATTTCTGCTGAGCTGCTCGGATGCCAGTGCACAGGGCAGCCCATCTGCCTATAGTACCCGTTTTTCCAGGCACGCTGAACAACTCCAACAGCAGCATTTAATTGAGCTGCTCCACGCTGCCAGATCGGCAGCTTTCTATATAAAGCAAACACAGTTTTTGCAAGAGTACTAGCACAACCTGGCAAAATTTAGAAAGATTTCCCCTTAGCATCTCCTGGCTACTCCTTTACTCCTCTCATTGGCCTGTGTCTCAACAACAGGAACCGTACATCTGTGGCAGAACGGGCAGGGAGGTACAGTTTGTATTTATAGGATGTCAGGCCTCTGCTAGCACACACTGACAGCACAAGCCTCCATTTTGAGCCTCATGTTCAAAACTGTATTTTAGCAGTTATATTTCAAAGTTCATTTTCTGACAAACACATTTCCCCCTCTGCTTTCTTCCTCCCTTTCCTTCTCCCCCGTGAATTCCCAACAGTCCTGCTCTGCTCTCCATAAAACCTGTTTGCATGTTTTGCCACTTTAATACCAGAGCCTTACTCCTTTTTCCTCTCCTTGCTCACTGATGTTTTCTAAGCATTTAGAGAGTTTTTATCTACAACTCTTTATGCAAGTGCCACTTCTCCCCTAAACTACTATTCTGTAACATACACCTTCTGTCTCTTCAGACAGACCGCACCAGGCAATAAACACAGGTGGCAAAACTGATCAAGAACTAGCATCTCGAGTTAAGATAGAGAGACTGGGTCTTCTTCACAACTAAGAATTATCCAGGAACAGCAGTATTTCCTATAGTCATATTTCCATTTAAAAAAATAATTAACAACTAAATTTCAGCTGTAACTCTAAATCACATATTTATAAGCACTGGGAGCCAAAATCTTTACTTCACTTAGGCCAAGAATGGGGCTAGATAGTTGTTGCATTTGCTATAAACACATACGGTTTGGTATTGACACACCTGGGTTCTCTGGATCAGATACAACACCAGGGAACCAAAACGAAGTATTACATCTACATAAGTCTATTTCTGTATTTGGCTGCTCGTTAAGGCCATATTCTTACCAACAATTACACACACATTTAACTTCACCACCAAGGAGAGTTCCATTAATTTCAGTGAGACTGCTCGTGGCAGCGGGACAAGCACGTGTACAGCGGCGGGGCCTACAAGGAGCAGCATAAACCTGCTAGAATATTCAGCAGCTCTTCTTTGTTGCTACTTGAATATGATTTGAAAAGATTAAGAATACTTTCAAAGCGCTTGGCTTTCTATTTCATGTGTCTTATAAAGGAAACATAACATAATAATAGGGACGGGAACTGTTATATTTATTTTTTTACTAGTGAGTCTGTGTTACAGACTATCCACAATTCATGACAGAAACTGTAACAGCTGAACTACTACTTTAAAACATACACACACAGATGACCTTACTGCCATCACTAAACACACACAAATTTTTATTTAGAAGTATCTAAATCATTTTTCAGCCACCAAACCCGAAAATAAATAAATAAAAAAAATCCAAACAAAAAAATCCCTACAAACAAAAAAAAACAGGAAGAAAATCCAGGCAAGCCCATCATGTTTCTGTTTGCTGAAATTTTGCCTCTACACGAAAGCAACCCATCTGATGACAAATGATTTCTACATATCTACATAACGTTCAGCCTGAAATCTGGAAGTCCAAGACATTCCCCGAGAGCTGAAGTCAAAATTATCCTGTTAAAAGACTTCTGCTGGAGCCCTGGCAGGCTCAGTGCTGCAGGTGCTGCTGTAGCCCCAGTCTCTCTCCATTTATGTTAAGTCTCTTTCTTCAAATGACTATTTGAAAGATGTTACTGGTGAAAGTACACTTCCAAATTCACAGCCTTCAAAAAAAAAAAATAAAAATCTTTTTTTTTCCCCTTCAACGAAGGTTTTTTCACCCCAGAACTGAGTCAGCTCGGCGAGGCCTACCCTGTGCTCCACGCTACAGCCCTGCAGAACGTGCACAGGCGGTCCCTCGGCGTGACCAAAACAACCCACGGCTCGTAACTGCATCCGAGCTTAAAACACTACTCCAAAATACGCTGAAATAACGAGCCCGACAAAACATTTCCTTGCTCCCCCTTATAGCGATTTTTGGATCTTTCCTTTCCTTGGGAAGCCACAACCTGCGTTTCTAAATATATCCCGGGAAAAAAAAAAACACGGGCAGGTAACGCAGAGGAGCGGCTGGAATCGCACCTGGAGCCGGGCTGTGCCGGCGCTCCAAGCGCGGTACCTCAATTCCTGGTGCGACAGCGCGGGGGGACGAGCCCTGCGGGGCCGGGGCTGTGCCCGCCCGGCCCTGCGCCGCTGCCCGGCCCCAGCGCGGCCGCGCTTCCCTCCGGGACAGACATCCTCCCTCCGTTTCCCCCAAACGATTCCCCGACTTCCTCCCTTCCTCTTCCTCCTCCTCTCCCCGGCCTGGCCGCACGTCCCTCGGCACCCCGAGCCGCGGCGAAAAGGGGAGCGGTGTCCGGCCCTGCCGCGCTCCGCTCGCCCGCGGCCGCTGTCACTGCCCTGCCCTGTTTATCTCCCGGGCTCCCCGCGGGCCCCTCGCCGCGGCATCCCCGGCCCCCTGCCCGCGCCCGCCCGAGGCCCCGCTGCCCGCCCCGCCGCTCCCGTACCTGCCCCGGCCCCTCCCGCGGCGCCCCGGGTGGTGCCCGAGCCCTCCCCGCCGCTCCCCGGGCGCCCCCGGCCCCGCCGCCCCGGGCGCTGTAGCGGATCCCCGCGGCCCCGGGTGGGCCCCACCTCTGCCCCGGCCTCCCCGTGCCCGGGCTGGGGCCGGCGCCCCGGCGGGGAGGGCACGGCCCCCGGCCCCGCTGCCCGCGGCCCCTTACCCAGCAGGAGGAGCCGGTGCGTGGCCCTATAGACCTGCTTGTCCTTCTGCAGCTGCTTCTCGATCTTCTTGTTGGCCTCCCGCTGCGCCTTCTCCTCGTTGCGCTGATCCTCCGTCTTGCTGTTCCCTAAACAGCCCATCTTGGGGAGGGGAAGGCAGGGACGCGGGGCGAGGGGACGGGAGGCGGCCGGGGCTGCCGGGGGGAGGGAGGGAGGGAGGGAGGCACTCCCGGGCTCCCTTCTTCTTCCTCCTCCTCCTCCTCCTCCTCCCCCCCTACTCGCTGCTGTGGCGGCCGCTGCCCAGAGCCAGAGACATGGAGAGCGCCGAGCCCGGAGCCAGCCGAGGGGGGGCCGATAGCGATGACTTTGCTGCCGCTCCGCCGGGCCTCCTCCCCGGCAGCTGCAGCTGCCTCTCCTCCCCCGCCCCCCGCCGATCCCCTCGGCGCACCTTTCCCGGGGGGTGCGGAGCGATCCGCGGGGATCTCCGCGCCCCGGCCGGGCCGCCGGCTCCTCTAGAGGCAGCACAAATGCCCCCCCCCGCGCCGCACGCACAGGAACAAATCCAGCTTCAGTGCCACCCCCAAAAAAATAATAATCCTCTTTAGATCCAAAGGCACGGGCTCCAGGCGCGGAAACCTCCCCAAATCTCGGCGGGGAGGATCGGGAAACGTCTCTTCCTCGCCTCTCCCCCCGCGCCGCGGGGGTCACGCAGCCCCGGTCCCTTCCCTCGCCGGCCGCCGCAGCTCCTCGCCCTCCGGCCGCGGGTCCTTCCTCCCGCACCGGGGCGGGGGGGTCCAATCCAAACCCCCCCCCTTTTTTTTTTTTTCCTTTTTTTTTTCCTCTCTTCCTTGCTGCTGCTCTTTTTTCAATGCGGTTTCCAGGCGGCTGACTCCTCTCGGCGACAAAAAAAAAAAAAAAAAGGCAAAAAAAAAAGGCAAAAAAAAAAAAAAAAAAAAAAAAAGGCAAAAAGCCCGTTTGGTCTGTGCGCCCCGAGCAGAACCTGTCCCTTACGGGCGGATTTTTCCTCGTCTTATTTCTCCTGCTCTCTCCCGCATTTCTTTCTTTCTTTTTTTTTTTTTCCCTCCTTTTTTTTTTTTTTTTTTTTTCCCCTTCCCCTATTGAGCGGCTCCGCGGCGGCGGAGCGCGGGGTGGGGCGAGCGGGCCCACACTGCACGCCGGGAGCGAGCGGGGCCGCTCACATGATGCCCGCGTCACCCCGCGCCGCCGCCGGCGCCCTCTTCGAACCGGCCCCGCCGCTGCCCCGCAACCCCCGGCGGGACCCGCCGCCCCCCGCGGCCAGCGCGCACTTCGGGATGAAACAGCCCCTAAAACGCCGGGAGTTGGGCTTGGAGTTAGTAGAGTTGTGAATAAAGTGTT